GCGACGACTTTACCGTGAGTGATGTAGAGTGACGAAGGGGCCGCCGGGCGAGAGGGATTTTTATGATGTCACTGAGGGATTTGCTGACTGCTTTGGGGATTTACGTCAACTTAATTTATAACTTTGGAGTTTTATTACATTGTTATTTACGTCTGGGTATTTATGTGTAAAGGGAATGTATATACCTGAACCGGGATACCAGGTGTTAAATATGTATATAGATTTAGCCTTCACTCAGCCCCTCAGAATCAGTATTTACTCACTGCAGTTTTGTCTTCTCGTAATTCAATCATTCTCATAAATTCATCATTCAAGTTAACCTCACAAATTCATCATTCTAACAGCCTTATGGGATGATGGGTTAAGCCTTTAAGGATGATGTTTTTTTAACCCTTTGATGATGACGAGACTTTAACCCTTTGATGACCATAGTTTAACTTTTTGAGGATGATGGTTTAACCTTACGATTTTTTTTAACCATTTGATGACGATGATTTAACCCATTCAAAACTAATATTTAATTTTTAGAAGATTATGGTTTAACTCTTAGAAGACGATGATTTAACCCTTTGACAATTCTTATTTAACCCTTTAAGGACTCTGGTTTAACCCTTTAAGGACTCTGGTTTAACTCTTTAAGGACTCTGGTTTAACCCTTTAAGGACTCTGGTTTAACTCTTTAAGGACTCTGGTTTAACTCTTTAAGGACTCTGGTTTAACCTTTTAAGGACTCTGGTTTAACCCTTTAAGGACTCTGGTTTAAAAAAATGGCGATTTGGCGGGCGCGGCTGAGTACATAAAACCGAGAGTCACTACACCCTCTTATTTAACACACGGGGAAGGATTAGCTTAGGTCAGGCTGGGTGATGGCGGCATAAAGAAAGTGTACACACAAAAAGGAAGATTGGGAGATGATGGCTAGAGAAGAGAGAGAGAGAGAAAGGCGGGAGGGATAAAGAGAGGGAGATGGAAGTGAGAGAGAGATAAAGAGAAGGAGATGGAGAGATAAAGAGAGAGGAGAGAGAGAGACAGAGAGAGAGAAGAGAGAGAGAGAGAGAGAGAGAGAGAGAGGCGGGAGGATAAGGAGAGGGGAGATGGAAAGTGAGAGAGAGATAAAGAGAAGGAGATGGAGAGATAAAGAGAGAGAAAGAGAGAAAGAGAGAGAGAGAGAGAGAGAGAGAGAGAGAGAGAGAGAGAGAGAGAGGCGGAGGGAAGGGAGGAGGAGATGGAAAGTGAGAGAGAGATAAAGAGAAGGAGATGGAGAGATAAAGAGAGAGAGAGAAAGAGAGAGAGAGAGAGAGAGAGAGAGAGAGAGGAGAGAGAGAGAGAGAGGTGGAGGAGGAAGGAGAGGAGGATGAAAGTAGAGAGAGAGATAAAGAGAAGATGGAGAGATAAAGAGAGGAGAGAGAGAGAGAGAGAGAGAGAGAGAGAGAGAGAGAGAGAGAGAGAGAGAGAGAGAATAGTTGTGAAAGACTTGAAATCCATTGATGAGTGTATGCAGTTGTGTAAGGCTGAAGGTGCCTAGTAATATAGATTATATAGTGTAAAAATATAGTGTAAGATGTATAGTGTAGATAGTGTAGATAACTAGGGTCTCTGTAGTTAACTTTAGTAATATACAATGCTTAGTGTAGGTGTGTGTGTGTGTGTGTGTGTGTGTGTGTGTGTGTGTGTGTGTGTGTGTGTGTGTGTGTGATCTGTGTTCTTAACCCTTCCACTAAGAGATTTAACCCTTCCACTGAGAGATTTAACCCTTTAACTGAGAGATTTAACCCTTCCACTGAGAGATTTAACCCTTCCACTGAGAGATTTAACCCTTCCACTGAGAGATTTAACCCTTCCACTGAGAGATTTAACCCTTCCACTGAGAGATTTAACCCTTCCCCTGAGAGATTTAACCCTTCCACTAAGAGATTTATCCCTTCCACTAAGAGATTTAACCCTTCCACTAAGAGATTTATCCCTTCCACTAAGAGATTTATCCCTTCCACTAAGAGATTTAACCCTTCCACTAAGAGATTTATCCCTTCCACTAAGAGATTTATCCCTTCCACTAAGAGATTTAACCCTTCCACTAAGAGATTTAACCCTTCCACTAAAATTTAACCCTTCCACTAGAGATTTATCCCTTCCACTAAAGAGATTTAACCCTTCCACTGAGAGATTTAACCCTTCCACTAATTTACCTTCCACTGAGAGATTTAACCCTTCCACTGAGAGATTTAACCCTTCCACTGATTTAACCCTTCCACTAAGATTTAACCCTTCCACTTTTATCCTTCCACTGAGAGATTTAACCCTTCCACTGAGATTTAACCCTTCCACTGAGATTTATCCTTCCACTGATTTAACCCTTCCACTAAGAGATTTACCTTCCACTAATTTAACCCTTCCACTGAGATTTAACTTCCACTAAGAGATTTATCCCTTCCACTAAGAATTTAACCCTTTAATAAACTAGATCCATGAAACATCGCTGCGTCATGTCTAAATCACCAACCCGGAAAGTGAAAGAGAATATTATACACATATTTAAATCAATTCCTCCTCCCCTCCCCCCCTATAATTATCTTATTAAATTTCCAATCAAACAAATTCTCGCGCTAATTAAAAACCCTGCCCCCACCCCACAAACTCCACCAGGTACCACGTCGGTCACACACACACACACACACACACACACACACACACCTCCATCACTTATGTTCAGATACGTCCATATTGTCATCTCAGACAGACAGACAGACAGACAGACAGACAGACAGAGACACAGACAGACACCAATGTTAGTTTCGTTAAGGATGGACGGCGTCACCTCTCCCAGAAAGTATTATTAAAAAATATTTCCTTTTAAATAACTCTCAACCTTAATCACTACACTTCTAAGGGCAATTATAGCGTGAAGCGACACACATCACTGACATGTTACGGCCATCACCTGTGGAATAGCACTGTCTTCTCCCCCTCTCCCTTCCTCCTCCTCCTCACCCCTCTCTCCCCTTCCTCACAGCCCTCCCCACCTCCCCTCCCGACCCCCCCCCTCTCCTTCTTGACAGATCTATACTCCCTGTGTCTATATATCCCCTCACCCGGCTAAGGGGAATAATAAGAGGGGAAAAAGATGATTTTGTTGATTAATGAAGGTTTGAGCTGATGACCTGATGTGTTTAGGTAGAAATAACAAAATATGAAGGAATTATTTGAGATAACCTGAGTTGTATATCTCATCCAGAAGGTAAGAGAGAGGGATGAGAGGGGTAGAGAGTGGTAGGGAGTGGGAGAAGGGAGGGAAGGAGTGAGTAGGGAGTGAAGAATGAGTGGGGGAAGGGGGGGGGGAAGGAGTGAGTGTGGAAGGGAGGAAGGAATGAGTGTGGAAGGGAGGAGTGAGTAGGAATGGGAGGGAAGGAGTGAGTGGGGGAAGGAAGGAGGAACGAAGAAGGGAAGGAAAAACGAGGGATAATGAAGGACATGAGAGAGAGAGGGAGGGCGAAGGGGAGAATGATGAAAAGGAGAGAAAGGAAGAGGGTAACAAGAGCGAGAGATAATGAGAAAAGAGGGATTATGAAAGTGGAAATGGAAAAGAGAGGGAAAGATAAAAAAAGGAATGAAAGGGGAAAGAATTGTGAGAGAGAGAAAGAGAGTCGGGGAGGGAGACGAAGGGAGTAAGAAAGAATGGCTGATAAATTAGGGGGAGATGTAGGTCAGAAAGGGGGTGGGGAGCGAGAATGAAGGAGAGAGAGAGAGAGAGAGAGAGAGAGAGAGAGAGAGAGAGAGAGACTCCTACGTGTTGGGGTGAGGGAGGCGGGGTGTTGTGATGGTGCTGGTACATAATGGCTCGTATTGTGATGGAGATGACGACCACGGCAGAGTATGTGGGAATTTTTGATGGACGACCCCGCTAGCTGAGGCCTTATGCAGGGCTGGTGGTTAGTGGTGGTTGTGGTGGTAGTGGTAGGGGTGGTTATGGAAGGGGTGGTAGTTGTGGTGGTGATGATTGTAGTGGTAGTGGTGGTGGGGATAGTGGAGATGGTGATGATGGTGGTAGTTGTGGTAATTATGGTGGTGTTAGTAGTGGTGGTGGCGGTGGTAGTGGTGATAATTGTAATACTGGAGGTTGTAATGTTTGTTGTGGGTGGTTGGTGGTTGTGGTGTTGATAGTGGTGATACTGGTTGTAATGATAGTGGTGGTAGTAGTATTCGTAGTGGTGACGGTGTGGTAGTAGTAGTAATTGTGGTAGTGGCTGGTTGTTGTGCGTGTTGGGAGATGTCAAATACGTAGAGAGAAGGAGATAGGAGTAGGGAGATAGATTGAGACTGGGAGATAGGTAGAGAGAAGGAGATTAATAGAGGGAGTTTTCTCAGTATCTCAACAGGTGTCTCTCAACAGGTGTGTGTCTCTCAGCTTGGTATTTACGTCATTATTCACTTGACATCTGTTATTGGTGTCTTCATTATATCAATATTGTTAGGATATCTTCATTACACACAGACAGACATTTAATATTCGTAAGAGTTCTTCGTTGGTGAAAATAATGAAAAATAGAGGATTTATATTTAGCATTTTTGTTATTTTTATTTTTTTTAGAGTAATTTAGCTGATGAGGAAGTAGCCAAGGGTGAGCTAATGTTTACAGTGTTGCCAGAAAAGTTGGTTCACCTAAAGTAAGGATTATCCCTAACCTACTTATTTTACCTTTGAAGGGTCCCAGCTACAGACCCTGGGACGCTCAGGGATTAACTGGTTTGGTAGGGAAGCAGGTGGGGTAAAAGGTTAACAGACAGATGGATGGACAGACAGACAAATGGACAGACACAAAGATGGGATGGATTATGACAACACACCTCTGGTCCCGGTGGTTGAGGGGTTAAAGAAGGGAATGTGACCAGTGTGTGTATAAGAAGTGTATCACCTCAATGACGTAGTTACAGGTATAGTGAGGCCCCCTGTGGCCACCCACCGTGGCTGTCTCTCTTGTTACTTATTGAACTTTTTGTTTCAGATATTGAGGTTGGTGGTGAGGGTCGTGGGGTGGAGGACGGGGGTAGTGAGGGGTCGCCACTGCGGCCTCCTTCCCCCTCCAGCACCACAGGCGGGGGTGACGGACCTCCACATGCCCCTCCGCCGCCCGCGTCTCCTGTCAAGCCACGAATCTGGTCCTTGGCAGATATGGCTTCCTCGTCTTCGTCACCCACGTCGCCGTCGTCCACGCTGGCGGGGGCGGTGGGTAAGATGAGTGTACACCGGCCCCTACACCTGGAGGCCTCACCCTACGCCCGCCCGCTGCCCATGGCGCCCCGATTGCCCTCACCACAAGAGGCGCTGCTGCAGGTCTACGCCAAGTCTCTTGGTCTGGCGCCTCACCACGCCCACTCCTTCCCGTCCTTGCCTCCCGGCCTGAACGGACTAGGATCACATCTTTCTCCGCCCGGGCTGGAGGCTCCTTTACCTGCTACCCTGGGGGCGCCAGCGTATAGCACCGCCTCCCTCCAGCCGCCCATCGTCAGCAGACCTGTGGCAACCCGCCCATTGCCGCCCATCTCTCCTTCTTCCCTGCACCACACACTTCCCGGGGGCGCCAAGATCACGCCAGCGCCGCCCCCTGCGCACAGGCCTGAAGGTTAACCTCCTCCCCAGCGTGTAGGGCCCGCGCCTCCCCGGCCCACTAACTCTCAGTAAATTAAGTTACATATGACCCCGAGGCTTGGCCATTACCCGAAACTTGGCCATGACCCGTGGCCTGGTCATAACCCAAGGGTTGGCTATAGCCCGAGGTTTGGCCATGACCCGAGGCTTGGCCATGACCAGAGGCTTGGCCATGATCCGAGGCTTGGCCATGACCCGAGGCTTAGCCTTAAGCCGAGGCTTGGCCAAGACCCCAGGCTTGGTCAAGACCTCGAGGCTTGGCCATGACCCGAGGCTTGGCCATTACCCGAGGCTTGGCCAAGCTTTAACTGTTTTAGAACAAGGACCTGTGGAGGAGGTGACCGCTCGCACCACGTGCACCCAGCGGTACGTGTCACCACAGCACGTGGCGTGGCACGCACAGGCTTCAGAGTTATCACAGTGTTTGTACAGTATCATAGTTGAGGCGTCGAGCAGCGGGTGTTTGACCGCCTCGTTACTACCAGTGACGACCTTACTTGTTAAGATGAAAAACTTGTTTCTCTTTATCTGAACAGTGCCACGATATACTCTGAATAGTGCCACGATATACAGTACTCTGATCAGTGCCACTATATACTCTGAACAGTGCCACTATATACTCAACAAAGCAGAAAATCTTGTAGCATATCATTTTAGTGACAATTTTTAGTGGATGATGTGAGCACCAGGATGGTGTTGTGTGGGGAGCGCCGCGGACACTAGCCATGCTGGGGGCGTCTCCTGGGCACTGGGGGGAGGAGCTGCTCTACCAATATGCAGCTGGGAACAAGAAGGCCGTCAAGGACACAGCACAGGGGGACAACCTTCAGTTGTGGTACATTAAGTGAGGACAAATTATGGCACAAATATTGACGGAACAGAAGTAGATGTGAGTACAGTGGAGAGAACCATAGCCTCACATACTCGGGTGCCGGGCTTCGTGGCGCCTCACAGACACCCCCCGCCCCCCTTGGCATGGGTCCGCTGGTGTGCCCCTCGACTCTCCGTATAGTCTATAACTCTACTTATATCTGCCAAAGTTACAACATTACGCTCCCTACGTCTGTTAGTGTTATCGCGGTGTCATTCGTTCATTGCATATTTTTCACCCAACATTGTCCTTCGTTTATATATATATATATATATATATATATATATATATATATATATATATATATATATATATATATATATATATATATATATATATATATATATATATATATATATAAAAGATTTGATTGGTGATGTTAGTAGTGGTGAGAGAGGTGCCGGGTGTTGGGTACAGTACTTCACGAGTGTCAACATCATCTCGTGAAGGATTTTGTAATATGGGAAGAAATGGAGAAGGTTTTTTTGTTATTTTTGTAACAATATTGAGGATAAGGACTGAGCTTACTTGTAGTTTACGTTGTGTTTACAGACTATGTTTAGGAGTGGTATTGTGTCACTCACCTGAGGGGCGTCACTCACCTGAGAGGTGTCACCCACCTGAGGGACGTTATTCACCTGAGGGACGCCACTCACTTGATGGGCGTCACTCACCTGAGAAACGTCACTCACCTGAGGGGAGTCACTCACCTGTGTGGCGCCTCAGTAACATCAAGAATTGGAGAAAAGTCTATCATATCTAATAATAACCAGACATATTATAGCTACTTCCCGTAACTGTATCTTTATTGTTCTCATCAGCGTCTTCAGGTAACCCAGCCTGAGACCCACCAGAGGTTAGGGTCCAGATTCACAAAGTGTCGTAAGTGAAGACACAACGGTACACTTTAATGGTTGACTGAAGCTCACACACAAAATATAATGACCCAAAAACACCATCAAAAGTACACTTAGATTTTACCTTAAGTGAATAATATTAACTTAACATCAGAGAATATAAAGTGAATTGAATCTCATTAATTAATTCTGTACTTTAATTCAGTTAAGTGTAAAGTAGATGTATCATATTAAGGTAAAATCTAAGTGTGATTATAAGTGTCTAATTTTTATACTTTTTTTGTAACTTAAGTCAATTATTTAAGTATATTCTTACATCTTGACTTACGAGTAATAATGATCGTATGAATATTTGTCAAACCAGAAGAGTTTTGTTCACAGGTCACCAAACGTCTTTACGGTACATATCCTTTACGACCCAACAACCAGGAGCTCTTACTGTCAATACCTCACTAAAGTCTAGTAAAAGAAATGTTACTTTATGTCAGATTACTGTTAAGGATTCCATTTCACATGTGGTTATGGCTGGAGATGTTGTTCTGTATATAATTATCATGTTAAGTCATGTTTATTGTACACCTGTTGTGGTCTTATTATATATCATGTTTATAATTATCATTCTCACTCATTATGAAAATTACGATTTTTTTTTAGATTTTTTTTAATAGATTTTTACAAGACCATATAGAAATGAATAACCGGCGCTACAGTATTTAATTTTGTTTTAATGTTTTCATAATTTTCAAATAAGAATTAATTTTTTTATAACTTGTTCCGGCGTTAAAATCAGATGATGGTATTTTGGTTTCTTTCTATATATATATTATTTCATACGAGGTTAAACCTTCCGTTAAAGTCACTCAACTGTACCGGTAATGAGAGTCACTTAACCGCTATATGGTGTGAGGGTCGGCCCGGGCGCCCTCACTCAGGCGCTAAGACGATTTTTTCACGCTTAATTAATATCCATAAAACAGTATATCAGAATAATTATAAAAAAAGTGAAGCTTCTAATTTGAAAGTAATGTTTACATACTTGAAAATTCAGACAAAATAACGATTTCTTTTTAATTTTGAGATAAAGATGATTAACGAAATTATTCACCTTTATAGAAGCATACCAGCGCGCTTGACTGCAGTGTGTGTCTCAATATGGCAGCTGTGTTGACGATTTTAAGCGGAACTTTTCACTAACTACGGGGGTGGTGTATGGTAGTCTCCAGTTCAGGTAATTTACTCAATTCCCTCGTCCTTATCCGGCCGTCGTGAGGCAGGAGCGGTTATCCGAAGATATTCCGCGAGTCACCAGGTAGATGAAATTGTGTTCAGGTATTAGAGAATTTTAATTATTTTTTTTGCTTCAGATAAACGGGTATTTGGATATTTTCCTTCCTGGATATTTTTTTTTACCACAAGAGGCAGGTATTAGCAATCTGAATATTAATAAAAATCGGTACCTTTTCACCCTCAGTTATACGGTATTCTTTCACTTTCACTTATCCGGTATCCTTTCATTCTCAGTCATCCGGTATCCTTTCACCCTCGATAATCCGGTATACTTCTCACTCTCAGTTATCCGGTATCCTTTCGCCCTTGATAATCCGGTATACTTCTCACTCTCAGTTATCCACAATTGGAATAAATAATTTTACAGACAATTATCCGCACAAAATCTCACAGAAATCCACCTTTTCCTATTTACCGTATCCATGTTAATCCAATTCTCGATATTAAATAGAGAAAAATCCAAGTAATTCATTTTTTCTCACAAAACACAAACAAACACCAACACAAAACTCCCTCACAGACGAAAATCACTCCCGTCAAGTCAGGTGAGGCGGGAATTGACTTAACACTTACTAAAAATAAATGATAAGTAAATAAGTACAGGTTTAAGTGGGTCTTCCTGGGGTGGCTTAGAAAGTGTCTACCTGGCTGTAAGTGGCAATTAAGTGGAAGCCAATCCAATAGGCTTTTTGGGGGGGGGCAGAATCCACTCGTTTGCGGGTATGGAGTTTCGTGATTGGTTCTTCTTTGACGTGACGTTTCTCTCTCTCTCTCTCTCTCTCTCTCTCTCTCTCTCTCTCTCTCTCTCTCTCTCTTACGATGGTCCACGTCATGATGAGGAAGGAACCAATCAGCGCACGTCATACCCGGATACGCGTGGGTTTTATTTTTAGCGGCAGGCCGCGAGTGAGTGACGGGAAGGGGCGGCGGTCGGTCACTACATACTCTTAGTGTAGCGGTCACTCAGTGTAGCGGTCATTCATTATAGCGGTTACTTTGTGTAGCGGTCATTCATTACAGCGATTACTTAGTGTAGAGGTCACTCATTGTAGCAGTCATTTATCAAAGCGGTTACTTAGTGTAGCGGTTACTCAGTGTAGCGGTCATTCATTATAGCGGTTACTTAGTGTAGCGGTCACTCATTGTAGCGGTCATTCATTATAGCGGTTACTTAGTGTAGCGGTCATTCATTACAGCGGTTACTTAGTGTAGAGGTCACTCATTGTAGTAGTCACTCAAGTATAGCGGTCACTCATTGTAGCAGTTATTCGGTGTAGCGTTCATTCATTTAGCGGTCACTTAGTATAGCGGTCATTCATTTAGTGGTCACTCAATGTAACGGTCATTCAGTGTAGCGGTCACTCAGTGTAGCGGTCATTCAGTTTAGCTGTCATTCAGCGAAGCGGTCACTCAGTGTAGCGGTCATCCAATGTAGCGGTCACTCAGTGTAGCGGTCATTCAATGTAGCGGTCACTCACTGTGGCGGTCATTCAATGTAACGGTTACTCAGTGTAGCGGTCACTCAGTGTAACGGTTATTCAGCGTAGCGGTCATTCATTCTGGCGGTCACTCAATGTAGCGGTCATTCAGTGTAACGGTCATTCTTTGTAGTGGTCACTCAGTGTAGCGGTCATCCAATGTAGCGGTCACTTAATGTAGCGGTCATTCAGTGTTGTGGTCATTCAGTGTAGCGGTCATTCATTCTATCGGTCACTCAACGAAGCGGGCATTCATTCTAGCGGTCACTCAATGTAGCGGTCATTCAGTGTTGCGGTCATTCAGTATTGCGGTCATTCAGTGTTGTGGTCATTCAGTGTAGCGGTCAGTTTAATTACTACTGAGAGCCCCTTCAGACATAACAGGAGATAATGATGTAATTAGCGAAGGACATAAATATTCCATAGGTCGTACATAAACAATATTTAATGACATTATTTAACGTGTCATATTATCCAAATTGTTATTATTATTTTATTATGTCAGTATTTATATGAACAAAACCGTAATGCAATATTCAGATATTATTTTATTTTTGTTTATTTTTTTTTAATATTGTGTGGTTATTTGATCCTATTTAAGAAGACTTTAGAGAACCATATACCGAACTAGTCAATAATTATCATATACATTACTCATATACATTGGGAATAAATATATATATAAATCGATCAGGTGTTTTAAAATAGTTTCCCGTCAAGTTTTTATTTTTTACTCCCAATTCTCGTTTTCTTCACAATAAATACCCCTCTTGTAGTGTGGGTATATATTTTTACTCATATATTATAACCTGAGTCTATGATTGTCGACACGATAAGGAAGGTGAATCGTATTAGAAAAGTTGATTTAATTAACATTGAAAGAATTGCTGGTTGAGTGAATCATTATCCAAGAATTCATATTTAAAATTAATATTGTTTGCGGTAATGGTATTTGTATTGGGCAGGTAGGGAGGAAGGCAGGTAGGTAGGGAGGTAGGTAGGTAGGCAGGGACGTAGGCAGGTAGGGAGGCAGGCAGGCAGATAGGGAGCCAGGCAGACACGTAGGGAGGCAGGCAGCATCAGTGAGCACACCCAACTCATTATATGATTCCAAATGATTTGTAAAAAAAAAAAAAATATTTATGGTCAATCCTACATAATCACAGCGACATGTAATTATCTGCTGTGGAATTAAGGTAAATTGCCATTCCGACACTAACGTTGCTGATTACACCAAAAACCCATTACATATATTTTTGTCATTTACCAATTAACATTTGTGAAACTATATTACGTGGCCAATCCCCCCCACCCCACCCACCGGCGGGCCCAGGGAACTAAAAATTATATCAGGTGTTTTTGAGTTTGGTGAATATCAAATTGTTCTATATAGATGTTAGATGATCCAGTCATTGTATGTGAAAGAAAATCCTTTGTTGGTTTTTATTAATACAGATTTATTGAAAAGGAATACCCAGATTTTGAAATGACTGTATATTAAAATCTGGACATTTTTTTTTTTTTTTTCTATGACTCTGTATATAAATCTGTGTTTTATGATCAGGTGAGAAGACCACACTTACATCTTGCTCAGCTTGGAGGGGGGTCGTTCAGCACTCAACAACACGACTGGACAACAACCTCTTGGCTCACTCACAAATTAACCCAAAGAAAAATTATCCACACTGGGTTAAAAAAAAAAATCCTTTTATACATTTTTTAATATAATTTGAAAAGTTTCTTCTTAATTAATTACATTATTACATTACACCTATTACACCTGTGAAACTTGATTACCTGTATTGCTTTAATTAATTCATTTACCTGTTGTTGTTGTTTTATCATTACTTAAATTACAACATTACTGCATCTGTGAGATTTCATATGTCTTGTCGGTACGTATGTCAAAGGTCAGCTACACCAGTCCTACCCTCCTCCTTCAGTCCTTTCCCTCCCTCCCTCCTATCCTCATCCCTCCCTCCTATCCCCCTTTCCTCTCTCCTACCCCCTCTTCCTCTCTCCTACCCCCCCCCTCCTCGCAGGTGTTTCCAGGTTAATTTTTTTTTTATCATGACCTTTCACCTGTAATGACCTAATCACCTCTCCCATGACCTCGTTGTTCGCTGGGTTCACACATGAGGAAATTTACTATGTGATTTTGGGTCACTATACTCTAAGGTTGACCTAACTTTCTGTGATTTAAAATACCAGTGATTGTAAGTTTTTTTTATTATTATTATTGTTATTATGAAGAAAATGATGATCTTGTTTCTTCCTTATGTGCCAACAACAACAACAACAATAACAACAACAACAACAACAACAACAACAACAAGAGACATTAAACATGCGAGTAAAGAGACAGACAGAGAGACAGACAGACAGACAGACAGACAGACAGACAGACAGACAGACAGACACACGCGCAGAGGAAGCCAGACAACTGAACCTTAGAGCATATTGTCACAAGTCCCATAGTCCCGTATCACCAATTCTTAATTTTTATTTTTTCTGTACATTGTCTGTAGGCAGAGGCTGTCCTTCGCTGTTCTACTTTATTTATGTGATATTGTGCATTAGATTAAAACACATAAAAAAAAACAAAAAACAAAACCAAGCCATTGTGACCTCCCCCCCTCCCTATTCCCCCCCCCCTTCCCCCTTCCCTCACATACCCCTGATGATTTCTCTCCCGGGGGTGGGGTGGGGTGGGGGGCATGGTTGAGAACAAAGTCATATTGACTCCTCTACAACAGGTTAGGTTATTGTAACAAACATATTTCCAATCTAACGTATGTGTTATTTCTTAATAAAATGTTTATAGAAAATACCTGTGTATTATTTTCTTGGCCGTGGATGACCTGACGTTGCAGATGAATGTGGGGTGATGGTCGAGTGCAGTGCCATCTATATATGTACCCACACACTGTTAATTATTATTTTAATTCAATAAACTTATATTTTTGGCCTGGATGTGGGACTGGTTGGACTTTTTGGGCTGATTTGTGGGTTGTAAGACTTGTGTACCTGGGTGTCGGACTTATTGGACTTTTTTGGGTGGAATGGACTTTTTGGATTTGTATCTGAATCCAGGAATTATTGGACTTGTAGTTGGATCGAGGACTTATTGGACTTTTTGGATGGAATGGCCTTAGTGAGTTTTAATCTAGGATATATTGGACTTTTGGTTGGAATGGACTTTTTGGACATGCATCTGGAACTGAGATTTGTTGGACTTTTGGATAGATTTAGATTTAGGACTTATTGGACTTACAGCTTGTAGTTTGGACATGGCTACCCCTTGGACATAGCACGGGACCTTAAATCTATTTCACATATTGGACTTGTAGCCGAGCCCTTGGACTTGTTATGATGCTACTAGACTTTCTCGAATTCACTTGGACTTGTGCCTGAAACTTAAGAACTTTCAACATAGATCTTGACTCAGTTGGACTTTTGGACGTTTGATTGGACTTTGACTTATTGGTCTGGGTTTGGACTTACAAATGCTTATTACTAATTAATTTAAACTTTTAATCGGACTTTTAACCAGAATTTGGACTTTTGATTGGACTTCGACTTTTAATTGGACTCTGAACCTTTGATGAGACATTGGACTCTATAGGACTTTTGGTTCAATCGGACTTTAAACGTGTGAGAAAGCCAACCTTATATATAGATTCTATATATTTTAATTTTGGCCCTTTTAGATAAGTCCAATCTCATCTTAGCTCCAAAACAGATGTAAAAGTGGTCTAAATGCCATCGAGGGTTAATAAAGGCCAGTAATTACAATAATATCTAATCAAACTTGACATTACTAATAAACTGTCATGGCGGCTGGCTCCACTTGTGTTCGCCTGCAAAAATTCGAAAGAGAAATAAATCATGAGCTTTTACTTTTAATTATCTGTCTAAGGCAATTTTCATCACAATTTCTTCATTTTAAAATCATTAAGGTTAATTGTGGATATTTTCTTATATACAATTAAGATGTTTAATTAATACCGAGAATTTTACAGCATGTACAAATTCTCGAGGTGACAGACAGAGGTCATTTCTGATTGGTTGTCGCTGTTTGTGATGATTTTTGATTGGCTATTTTTTTATTACCTGAAATATTGTTGTCAGAAAGAAACCAGCAGAACGGCTTTGACTGCCGTAGTGAGAGGGTAGGTCTACGTACGTTTATATTTGTGTGTGCGCGCGCGTGCGAGTGTTGATTCAGTGACAAATACGATGTTAATGTGTGTGAACTAAACATTACTAACATTTATGAGACTAGAAGTTGATATTTTAATGAAGGCAGGAGTAGAAATGCCCGAAACTTGAAGAAAGAAGAGACTGAGCCACACCTGTGACCTGCGCTGAGAGCAACTTGTACAGGTAAGTTCCTATGTCAGGTGGTAAAGTTTATTGTTATTATTACCTTACCATGTATAGCTACTGTAGGTATACTTTGACACATAAATCGTGAGTATACATCTATGAATTCCCGTTGAGGAGGAAATTAGTCTGATATGTATAATGATATAATGATATAGTAAAAAGATAATTACTGTACACAGGTATTTAAATAACTGAAATGACTAATATGTGACTTAATTGGCAACTCACCTGACCGACTCTTACACCGCTACAAGACCCCGTGTGTAATGGTCGTTAGCAGGTACACAAGTGGTAGTTAGGTAAATAAAAGGGACAATAATTAATATATAACCGTTTTTTTTTTATAGTGGAACAGACGGTTAATACCAAGAGGGGTTTGTACGGTTACGATATTATTTTTTTTTTACGGTTAAGGCTCGAATCGTATTTTGGGATTCCAGAATTGCGGAACATTTTGTAAATTCTTAAGTATTTATTATGTTATGTCGTGTTATTTTCTTTTATTAAGTTTCGTTATTATGTTTTGTTATGACACTTCGTTATTATCATTATGCTTCGTTATCTTTATGCTCCGTCAGTATCATTATACTTCATTAATCATTATATTTCGTCATTATCGTTATGCTTCGTCATTATCATCATTATACTTCATCATTATTGTGCTTCCTTATCACCATTACACTTCATTATCATCATTATTAACTCTAAAGTCGTTCATCATCATCAGCACCATCAAATTCTTCACCATCGTTCACCATCGTTCAGCATAACAGTTACGGAATGGCCACACGCCCGGGCCTTACCTGTATATTACTCACACTAATTGCTTTATAGACGCACACCTGTTACGGTAATACTATAGAGAACATCGACAGGTAAACAAACATTTCTCGAACTAATTAATACATAAGAACAGGTGTTTCTTTCCTTTAATTTTTGCACCGGAATATTTAAGACGAATGAGAAGGTAAATATATTTGTAAATTAGTTATAATTTTAGCAGAAATGGATTACTGAACGTTGGAGTAACCGGGAATAATGAAATTTAGTGGTTCAGTGGTTCAATGGTTTAGTGTTTTAGTGGTTCAATGGTTTAGTGTTTTAGTGGTTCAATGGTTTAGTGTTTTAGTGGTTCAGTGGTTTAGTGGTTCAGTTTAATGGTTCGGTGGTTTAGTGGTTCAGTTTAGTGGTTCGATGGTTTAGTGGTTCAATAGTTAAGTGGTTTAGTGGTTCAGTGGTTTAGTGGTTCAGTGGTTTAGTGGTTCGTGCCTGCTGGAATGAGACATGGTTCATAGGTGTTGTGTTGTTCATTCATTGATGCCCCGTAACCGTGACGGTGTACCTGCTCTTACTGTACTGCTTAGGTAAAATCTTCCTTCCTCTTGATGTTGGGGAGGTGGGGGTGAAAGTAGAGGGGGAGGGGAATGAGATAGTGGGGGAGGAGATTGAAGAGACGATAGATATAGCTGTTGTCGACTATGTAAGGTCTCTCTCTCTCTCTCTACTTTGTTTATTTCACTTTCCCGTTCTCTTCCTTCTTTCTCCCCACATTTTTTACTCCTCACAGTCTCTCATTTCTCCTTTATCTAATTCTTCTTCCTCCTACTCCACCTTTATCTTTCTCCTTTCTTATCTTTCTCTTCCCGCTTTCCCTCACCCCTCTCCATCTCCCTCTCTTCCTTCCTCCCTATCTCCCTCTCTCTTCCCTCCTCCCTGTCTTCCATTCTCTCTCCTCCCCCCTCTTTCTCCCTCTCTTCCCTCCTCTTCCTCTCCCCTCATTTTCCTCTTCCCCCAACCCTTCAGCCTAACCTGTCTCATTACTCTTTCTCCTCCCCTCCTCTTCCTAGTCCCCTCTATCCTCCTCTCTACCCTCTCTCCTCCTCTCTACCCTCTCTCCTCCTCTCTACCCTCTCTCCTCCTCTCTACCTCCTCCTCCTACACCCTCTCTCTCCTCCCTACACCTCTCTCCTCCTCTCTCTCTCCTCCCCTCTCACCTCCTCTCTCTCTCTCCCTCCCCTCTCACCCCTCTCCTCCTCTCTACCCTCTCTCCTCCTCTCTACCCCTCTCTCCTCCTCCCTCCCCACCCTCTCTCCTTCTCTCTACCCTCTCCTCCCCTACTCCCTCTCTCCTCCTCTCTACCCTCTCTCCTCCTCTACCCTCTCTCCTCCCTCCTCTCCTCCTCCTCTCTCCTCTCTCCTCCTCTCTACCTCCTCTCCTCCTCTCCCCTCTTCTCCCTCCTCTCTCATCTCTCTCCTCCTCTCTACCCTCTCTCCTCCTCTCTACCCTCTCTCCTCCTCTCTACCCTCTCTCCTCCTCTCTACCCTCTCTCCTCCTCTCTACCCTCTCTCCTACCCCCTCCCCTGCACCCCCTCCCTCACCTGCTGGGGGTGTCGTCAATGACTCGGGAAATAAGGGAGTATGAGAGGGTGCCAGGGGTCACAGCACTATTCACGCGGCGCTAATCCTGCCGCTAAATAACCCAGCCACCTGATCTGGCTGATAGTACGGTGTAATAACCATCTTGCCAGCCAGTTAGCCCAGCCAGTCTTCTGTCTTCTAACCAGTCTGCCAGCCATCAACCAGTCCGCCAGTCAGCCAGTTAGTCAGCCTGCCATTCATCTAGCCAGTCTGCCTGTCATCAGCAAGTAAAAATATGTTAGTTAGCCAGGGGTTGAGAGGGCGAGACGGGGAGGAGGGAGAATGAAGTGGAGGGAGGAGGAGGAGGAGGGAGCCAGGTAGAGGTGAGAGGAGGAGGGTGAGGCTAAGTGCAGGGAGGAGGGAGGTGGAAGTAAGCGGAGGAGGGGGAGGAGAGACAGGGTGGAGTAAAGTGGAAGGAGGAGGGAGAGATGGAGTAAGTGGAGGGAGAGGAGAAGAGGTGGAGTGGAAGTAGTGCAGAGGAGGGAGGGAGGAGGGTAAATGAAATGGAGGGAGGAAGCTGGTGGTTATAG